AAAGACTCTCCAAAACTCGCCGGAATCTCACCAGACAATCTGTTATAAGAAAGTTTCAGTGCTACAAGAGATGGCAACTTCCCTAGAAAATCAGGCAATGGTCCAACCACATTGCAGTTAACCAAAGAAAGGTTCGTCAATTGAACTGAATTTTCCAATTCCTTAGGAATAGACCATCCAGAACTCTTATTGAACGGGTTATAATCCAAAGCCAAGACACGTACACTGCTAAGTCCATCAAAAAAATCAGCTGGAATAGTATCAAATTCATTGTTATCCAAGTAAGCAAACTCTAACTCTGATAAACCACTGAAGGTTGGTACTTTGCCATTAAAGTGATTCTTTTGAAGCCCCAAATTAAAGAGCTTTGTAAGCTGGTTGAGGTTTTGAGGAAGAGGTCCTCTGAGACCAAGATTTTGGACCTGAATTTGAGCAACTCTATCACCAGAGCAGAAGACATGAGGCCAAGAAGGAGGACCACAGGGATCATCTCCATTATCAGGCCACTTAAGTAGCTCTGGATTATCCAATCCTTTCTTGAAATCATTCAAGATTTTCAAGTCATTGGGATCTGTAGCACTATAAACTAGTGTAAAGAAACAAAACAAAACACCAAGACAGAACCTTTGAGGATCACATTCCATGGCCAAGGTTGTTCCTTTTCCAAAGAAGAAACAGGAGAAAAGAACTTAACAGACTCCAATGCAGTTTCGAAAACCAACAAGAGAATTTTAACAGTTATGACATTTGCAGAAGCAAAAGACAAGCAGAAAAGACAAGACACCGATTCATAATTGTGTTAAAAAAAAAAAAAGACTCAGAAACACAGAACATGGAAGTGATAAGCTAAGTTCATACGCAAGAAAGAGAAAGAGAAGCTTGGTACAGAAGGTTGAAAAAAACCCAGATTTAAAACAATGGATTTTTTTTTTAAAAAAAAAAACCCAAGTGAAGAAAGAGACGGGGAAGTGTAAGGAAAAGAGATTATGTTGTGGTTTTGTTGAGTGAGATCATTTGGACCCTAAAAAGCTGAGCAAGATTTATTACCAGTAAAAAGGAAAGTGTCTCACTCGCTCCCTTTCACTTGCTTTCTTTTCCTTTTTGTTGGTTTTTCATTAATTTTGGGTTGGTGAAGACGACGGTTTTTGCTCTTGAAATGTGGCATCAGAACTGGCAGAGACCCAGTGACCGACACAGATGATTTACATGAAAGGCATACTCATAATTGTACAGAAATACACAGAACAGATTAAAGCAGAAAATTAATGTGGGGTTTTGTGGTTCCCACATACGAGAGTTGAGACCCTACTTTGCTAGATTACAAGGTTAGAATGGATAGGGAGTCTTTATAATTCGCTGAAACCCAACGTTCAAACTACCATATTCTAATAGGAGGTTAGAAATTATAATTAAGGTTTTAAGCTATTTTTATTCTTAATTCTAAGTTTAAGGATTAATTTGATTGATGAATCCCTCGAATTTAAGAAATTGATTAGGGGTTTGTATTTTGGCATCAATCTTCAGTATGTACTTATTTGAAAAAAGGACTTTAGAACAAGGACAAATATATATGCTTTAATTAATGATTGCGCAAAGTAGGAATTTTACAACAATTTGAAACCAATGACATAGAAAAGTAGCTAGTCATTAGTCGGCATGAGGGCCCATTTGTTTAATCAAATCGTCAATCTTAGTCAGTGGAGCAAACTTAGGAGGATTTCGGCATTTCGATTACCTATCCAACCAAAAAATCTCATGAGACAATTCTAGAGTTAAAAAAGGTCAAAATGCCAGCAATATTATATTTTTTATACGAGTAATAGGAAATTTGAATATAGTTTTTTGATATATATATTTATTATTAAATTAAATATTTGAAAATTTTTCAGTGTTGATCATATATTCGTCGATGGAATATTTATATGTACATATTATGTTAGACTTATTCCAAATAGTAACTTTAATCTGGCATCCTAAATCGCTTATTAGAATCTTAATTTTTAATATATTACGGTTAAGATTTCGTTTTTTTTCTTTCAAAAAGTTAGTACATAGATTTGACAAATCTAAATATGATATGTAAATAAAAAAAAATTACGTGAATAATTATGACAAAGTCACGACTTAATAATAATATAATGTGGTGCGGAATTATCAGAAGACAGTCCTTCGTTTTCCCCTTTACAGCATGCTCAAGTTGGAAGATGTTCATAGGGTTGCCCTTGATTCAAGGGGTGCTATCATGTACCTTGCTTGATTTTGTCGAAGGTATTATTACATTCTCTAAATCTGTTTCATGCTTTGTCTTACAAATCTCGACAAATACCCTAAAATTTTCAATAGATTATTAGCCCAAAAGGAACGAAAACGAAAGACTACACAGTCGAGGACGGACGGATGGACACAAAGCCAAGCGGTGTCACGTGGCACTATCGAAAGTACAAAAAATCTCTAAGCATAATATAAAAAAAAACTCTTAAATAAATTTTTATTATTTTTATTTTAAATTAAATAAATTATTATAATTAATAGTTGACTTAATTAAAATATTATTTATTATTTTATGTCATGTAACGTTGACGTGAAATGTTAAAATATTATAATTGACATGATATACTGATGTATTATAATTGATGATGATATGATATATTAATTTGATATTATTAATGATAATTAGTCAATTATTAGTAATAAAAATTTATTTAATTTAAAATAAAAATACAGAGATATGATTAAACTTAATAAAAGAATAAAGATTTATTTGAATATCTTTAAATAGTTAAAAACTTATGTGAACATTATGTCAAATCTCCATTAATTATACTACTTATATTAGAGTTTTATATAATTAATAATACTAATTAACCCATTAACTTTTTTATAATTTTCTAAAGAGCGGAGTTAAACACTCTAAATCAAAATAAATTTAATAATAACACTATTCAATAAAATTACTGAATCGGTCCTTGGCTGGCTGCACTCCTCTGAAAAGTTACTACTAATATGCTGATAGCAAAAGATATTTCATTACCATTTCACCAATAATATCCAAAGATTCATTACTTTGATTTGATTTCTCTGATCAAATTAATGAAGCAGACATGCATATCTGTATTTTTGGGGTGAAGAAATCAGAATGAAGGTTGTTCACTTCACCATCCTTTCTTCCCCTCCACTTGCCCATCCCGAGACAAAATCACATGCCTGAAAGGCATCATGCCCTGTCCAATTGGTAACAACCAAAAGTAAGAGCAGGACCATTTAGGAAAAGAGCCACACCTCCCCTTTTGTCTTACCATTATGATACTGGGCCAATTAGCAATGCTTTTTATTTTTACTAAACAAAACAAACCCTGTGTTTGGTGAGAATACCTGTTATTCATAGTGTTTCATTATATATTTGCAATCATGTTAATTAACAATTCTGAGGATTTTGATTTTTCATCCAAACTTTAAAGGCTACCCATTTCAAACACCTTTAAGCATCAATTTGGGAACCCTTTTCTGCTTTTATCCCGAATTAAAGGAGTGTTGAATCAGATTATGCAAAATTTCTTCACTGTGAGTCTGGGCTAATATTTTTCTTCTATCCATCCTTTCGGCGGCATGGAGAGTGAGAGGCCAGGGGGTGGGGTCCTCAGCCGTTATTCCCGACTCTTGAGAAAATCCCAAGGGAGAGGAGAGCCACAAATTCGGTATCCCTTGTAACGGAAAACAAATATCAAATCCATTTTATCCAAAGCCGGGGACTAAAATATTGGCAAAATGAAATGAACCACACTCTTCCTCTTAGCTTTTCCATTGAAATAAAAAGATAATTAAGCTTCACTATTCTTCCTGATGCTTCCCCAGTAGATCCTGAGCGCACCACATTCTTCTTTCTTGGCTTTTGTTTGCATTAGTGTATGCAGGAATTTTGGGAATAATTATACTATTTAAGAAATGTGAGAATAAAACAGATGAAAACTTTAAGCTGCACTTGAAATCCTCTTCTTTACAAAAAGTGCCACTTGCTGCTCGAGTCATAAGCTTTCACTTCTTCCTTCTCAGTCAATTTTGTTATCAACCATCCCTAGCTTTGGTCTATCTTGAGACCCAAAAACAGAAAAAATGATGTGCAGCAACTTACGTCCATGCATTAAAAGCATGTTAGATAGATTCAGGGACATAAAGAGTTGTTGCAATGTGGAAAGGGGTAAGCTTGGGTGCATCAAATTCACATTATGAAACCTACCAAAGAAATTCACATTGTGGATACGCTAGGCCCTTATATTAATAGCAAACTTTGAATCTAAACTACAAAATGGAGTTTTATTACTTAGATCCATACTCAATTTAGATCAATTTTCTCCATTCAAGTAAGATGAATGCACTGAGTAGTTGTATTTGTTGAACCCCAGTTTATGGTGAGGCCCAAGATCTGAAGCAAGAAATTATTAACTAACCATAAAGTGGGTACCTTAACTTTTTTTTTTTGGTGCAGCAACCAATATGGTGTTGGGATTATGATCTTTATAAAGTAATATATAGAAATCACCAAGTCATCTGTATTTTGCCTCTCAATACCTTACTTTTATCTTTTATTTCAAGTTTTGAAAATGAAAATAAAACAAATGGTATTATCTTTGTGTTAGGCCTTTCCTGCATGTAAGAGATGAACTTTTAATCAAAAGTCAGAACATAAGGTGGAAAGAATGAATGGGTAGGAGGCATGAGAATGGAATTGGAAAGGGGATGGATAATTGTTACCTCACATGGTTACAACTAATACTCAAGAGAATAAGAAAAATAATTATAACTCCTAAAGTTTTGAATTATTATGTAGGTATTATAATATATAAAGGTGATGATGCTTGAAAAACTTTGCAAACAAGTTTCTGTGTTATCATGTATTCATTCAACTGTGAATAATGAGATGCTGAGACCCACCGATGGTGGAAAGGATAATAATTCTTTTATTGCTCAAAAATGGATTCCATGATTTTTAAAATTCTTCTACTTCCACCACTGTAACACCATGAATGCATCCATCCATCAATTCTACCCTATACTTCCAATAAATTGCAATGCATTTTGCCTATGAAAACGTTCCATTAAACTCAATATTTTCAAGTCCCTGCTAGCCCAAAGCCCAAAAGAAATCATGGCTATTTGGATCAAATTGTTTAACTGGGTGTTCTCAATCATACTACCCATGCATACAAGCAGACAAAGACTAACAAGCCGATAAGCTGATAAGCAGGCACCCAATATTGTCACTACTACAGCTGCCTTTGCCGAAATGAAATGTTGCAACTGGTAAGTGATGCCTGCATAAGATGCAAGACTACTAATTTATTTTAGATGCAAATTGTGGCTTATGATAGCAACTATCTGAGACAGTTTTAGGGCCATATTCTTCATCGATATGATAAAGATATTGCTTAAAACGATTGAGCTTGTTCTGGTGGTCAACCTACCTTCTAGGAATGGTGGCCACCTTCCTCAGTTGTATTATTCCCATTCCGTATAATACTTCTGGGTTACTGGTCAAAAAGAGAAAAAAAAAAGAAAAGATTGAGCTCTGCTGATAACTTCAATGACTTTAATGAATATAAATAAATGGTTGCAAAACTACCAGCTGAGTGCTTTTCTAAAGAGAAAAAAGAGGTGTTTATTCTGTTTATGTGATGAAATTTATTTGTACAACAACAGATGTAACTATATACATGGCACGATTAAGGGAAAGATATAAATTCCAATTTACTCACGCCTCAAAGTTACAAACCTGAATCAGCTGTAAACATACCCCTGAAATCATGACTCAATCTTCCTTTAATATTGGTACAGTATTCCTTTGGTACTGCTTAATTGATTCAATGACTTTAACAACAAAAGCCTCATCCTCTGGGTAATATGCAATAGGATCGGACAACAAAGGAAGTGGAAGATTAAGCACACCTTCTAGTGTTGCATGAACACAATAAGCAGAGTATGTAACATGGTATCCCCCTTCTTGGACAATAAGAAGGCGTCCACCACAATGCCTATCTGCCAAGCTTCGAACTATCCGCCCAATCTCACGATAACCATCCATTGTCAAGCATTGTCTTCCATTTGGATCAAACTGCAGAGTCATTTATGCAATCAGCTTTTATTAACAGTAATACTAGATTTGTTATCTGTTTAATAAGGGATAAGCAGCACCGATTTCAGAGTTTTTAAGTTTGTCTAGTTTCATCTCTGTTTGACCAAAACAGACAATAAACCTGACATTGCATAAATCATAGAAGGGTATATGAAAAGAGATTTCAAAGTTCGAAAAGATTCCATAGTTAAAAAATGATGAGAGTTATGATAAGTTAAAATGTTGAAAGCGACAGCACTCTTTACCATATTGAACCATGAACTTTTTTATTGAATGAGTGAAAAATCTCTTCCTATATTTATGTTTTCAACTGAGGAGCCAAATCATGTTCTACTTTATACAATGAATATCTTTAACTGAAGACCCAAATCTTGTTATACCCAAAACATTGAAAAAATAAGAATCCTTTTAAAGAGTATTCAAGCTCACAACATTCTGCTTACAGATTGGCAAGGAAAGGTTGTGTGTGTAGTCAGAGGGTGAAGGGTGAAGGGGTCAGGAAAGGGATGGAGGAGAAACACAAATAATCTCTTGTAATGCATCCGGTGTTTGTGAAATTTAACATGCCATTTTTATCCCTTAGAAGGCCACTTTTTGTTTCACTCTCATACATCTTCCATTCCTTCCAAAAGAAGATATACACTATAAGGTAACATCCCATCTTTAGACTAACAACTTCAATAAAATTCATAAAGTCATATCAGGAACTAAATAATTAACTTACAGCACTTGAGTCCTGACCAATCACCAGCACGATCACATCTGGCTCAAACTTCTGAACAGCTGGGACAACCAACTCCCTCATCGCATATTCATATCCCTTGTCACCGGTTCCATTTGGTAAAGGTATATTCAAATTATACCCAAATCCTTCCCCTTCACCAAGCTCATCTACTGTTCCATTTTGTGGATGAGAAGGACCCCAAGAACCATGATTCATATGGAGGGACATTGTAAGAACTTTATCAGACCAATAGAACCCCTCTGCTGTCCCATTTCCATAATGAACATCGATATCTATGACCGTGACCTTTCTACACCCTGAATCTAAAGCCAATTGCACAGCAAGCCCAGCGTTGTTAAAAAAGCAATACCCATCTGCTTGAGTAGGTTGAGCATGGTGACCTGGAGGCCTAACCAATGCATAAGCAAGTTTCCCATGGCCATCAAGTATATGTTTCATAGCTGATAGCGTTGTACCGGCAGCTAGCAGAGCGGCATCGAATGAACCAGGGTTCAAGAAGGTACCACCACAGATTTCCTTACCCCCATTTTTGTCGGCTTCAACTAGTGTATTAATATATGCTGGGAATTTATCAAATTAAAACAGGTTATATCATTATCGGACTAATTACATCAATCCCAACTACTTAAGTTATATAATTACCATAAAAAAAAGAAAACTTTCTCTAAAGATAGACATCCTATCCCCAAAATTTGCATCTTGTTCCATTCCAAGGCAATTATTGGAAACGGAAAAAAGATCTTTGGAATCTACCAGATAAATAAGAAAATGAACAAAAGGCTACCTTGGGAATGGAAAGAGAGAAGCTCAGGAATATTAGCAGGTCTGCCAGAGTGCCAAGAGACGTGAGGAGAGATGGGTCCTCTTCTGAGGATAGAGACGATGTTCCTGACCCTTTCTGAATTCTCCGGATGCTTTTCTAACACCTCCAAGAAACCTGGGTCGATCCCCGAGTCAAATACGCCACGGCCTGTGTCATGTCTTAGCATTCCCTCGTGCCAAAACACATTGATGCAATCTGTTGAGGATGTTGGAAAAGGTTGGCCGGGAACAGACATTTTGTAACCGAGTCGCTGATAGGACTGGAGTTCAGTTCACAGTTTCCAGTGATATGTTCATTTGCTTGGTTCTTCGCCCTTTGGTGCTTTCGTTGTCCTCTAATTGATTCTGGGCTTCTAAAAAGGTCCAATTGCAAAATGACATAAAAAGCGGATTGGTTCCCTTCCCTTCACCATCTTCTGTACATATTTCATTTTTTAGAAAATATTTATATTTATTAGTATAATATCTCAATAATTTAGCCTCACGTGATGCACACATATGACATATCCTAATGATTTTAAATCTTTTCATAATTAGTCATTACTAAATAATTTCTATGAAAAATCATTTGTCACACTCAGCACAAAAAGTTTATTAAGAATTCAATACAAATTGCAAATTGTACCTCATACAATTATTACCCTAAGTTACAGAGGAGAAGTACTACAAACTGTTCTGTTCAAAAGTTTCCAATTTTAGTGTGCTCATGTGTTGAACATCCTTATACAGTCTACCAAAATTTCTTTGAATTTATTCAAATAATTTTAGCATATGAAGTATATATTTTAATATTTAATACAATATTCATCCTGTGGAACGCATGGATGCCACCCAGCAGGGGGCACAGTTGGAATCCACTTTGATATTAGAAATTTAGGTCTAAATCAAATATATATGCCTAAATCTTCAGGGAAAGATTCTAGGTTATGCACAACTTGCCTTTCAAAAAGAAAAAAAAAAAAATCTTCTGAGAAAAATTCTAGGTTATACATAATTTCTAGACTCAAACTTATAACTTCTAGAATAAGGTGAATATTCAATATTCTGAATATACATGTAACAAACTTGTTGAACAGTTTGAACCCTTCTTAAAGGTCTGTCTGGTGACCATTCTCTCGAAATTCTGACATTTGAAGATCTTAATCAGAATCATTCCACAATGTTAATTACATGATTTTCTCGTGGATCAATGTTAGACGTTGGTTGGATTGTACTCCGACCGATTGACTGTGATCTTTCTGCTGTCATATTGCTCTTGAAATGAGCAAGGGAAGCAAGTTGATGAACAACTTCGGCAATTTTCTCAGCGCATACCACAAGGTCTAGTAGTAGTGAAACAACTGCGGTAGCTGGTATTGTCTCTACAAGTTCCACTCCTTCCCATAAGCCAGATTTTATTAAAGCTTTGAGATTTTCAGCAGCAATTTTTGAATTTGAAATGTGGGAATCAACTGAAGATGATTGGACCATTTCCTGCATCGCTGATGCCAAGTCCTTTAACGCTTTTCCTGTTGCTAAGCTGATCATTGTGCACGGCTCTTGGATTCTGCTACGGATTTCAAATGAAGTCTACAAGATAAGGAAATGCATTTAAATTTGCTAATTTGGCAAGAATTCAAAAATGCAGAAGGTAATCATATTCGTGGTTAAATCAATTGTGAACTTTTCATTATAGTTGGAATATATAGCATTTGATATATTACTTGGTTCTTAGAGTTAAGATAGCTGTTAAGTGCTTCAATTTTGTAGGCACATTCACGAGTCAAGTCTCCAACTTTTCGATACTGTTTCCAAGGATGGCGAAACCTGAACCTACCATGACGAGGTTCCCATGTTGCTAAACTTGCCTGTAAAAGATGAATGTGCTTAAATCAGCAGGAATTCGAGTAATTATCTAGGATGGTTAAGTGTTTGTACCATATTTTCTTCACTCTCTTGCGAAGTGAGAACACTTTTATATCTTCGAAGAAATGGCTTCTCTTGGATAGATACCCCCTCCTGAGGTTCACTGAAGTATTCAGCTCCAAATCCTGCAAGATTTCCTGGAGAGTTGTAACTCTGATAAATTAAAGAAAATGAAAAGAATGCTCTCGATATTTATATTATTAATATTCTCATCTGCAGCATATTGGCAATGATTATATCAACGGCTTACCTTCTAAAAATGTCCCAAGCTTCTCCAAATTGACAGCTACAAGATTGTGAAGATCCTCCCCAATCCATACAGGGAAAATAAAAATACTTACAAAAATGGCAGCACAGCTGCCAACAACGATCGTCAGTAGCCTTTGCAGCGCCATGATTAGAAGTTCTTCTCGATAACTTAATATAGATATCAAACAGAAGGTAAGTATGAAAACCATTAATCCGAAATCGTATTTCACTTTCATTTCAGGCAAGAATCTTAGAAATGTGACAGACGCGCCTGCAACAAAACCCAACAGGATGGAAATGAGTTCATGAATTAATTGGATTAAATGGAAATTGATATTTCAATTAGCTACTTCAAGCATATTCCTGTAGATCCTACCTACTACAAAGACGAAGAATGAGAGTAATATAGGTTCTCCAGTCTTCCCAAAGAGAACTGCTAAGTTATGAGCTCCAATACCTAAAGCAGCAGCTAGCAGCGTTGCTAGCATCCTATTTAAACCTTTTCCAAGTGTGGCCCCTGAAAAGATAAACAACAAAAATGGAGGGAAAAAAGTTAACTAAATGGAAATTCGTCTACTTCTAATTAAAAGGTTAAAAAGCTGCTTGTAGAAGTTGCAGACTTACCCACAGAAAATTCAAGGACAAAGACAACAGTTAGAACAGCCCAAATGGCATTGACACCGAAACCATTGTAAAGTGGCTTAAAGTAGTAGAATAATGAAACAAGAGTGAGGGCCAAAGCCACTTTTAGGGAATGAACAACCTTTCTAGGATCATCTTTCCCCAGATTCTTGGCCTTCCTCGCAAGTTCAACTACTCTATTATTCCATGTCTTGCTAGGCAGCAGAGCCTTGAGCAAGTGGCGCCCATAAGAGAAAGGGCCAGGATTAATTTCTTGATCTGGAGATGGCATTTTAGTTTGATGTATACTTGATTTGGATGGAAGCCAAGAGTAATACAATTGAGATAGAATAATTTCAGTTATTAGAAGATGAGAGAAACCTTGCTAGCTAATCCCTTTACATATACTTTTGAGTCTTTTGAGTTTGATACGCGTATATCTCATCAGTCGCACGTCTTTGCCACATTTAGAGCATGCGCCTAACGTTTTCTTTAATATCTCCTTTGTTTTTGGATTCTTTTGAAGGCATGAGATATTACCCTCATTCCAAATTACATAATATATATAGCAGGATCATTTATTGATTATTTATATATTTGCAAACACAGTCGGACCAAACCTTGAATGAAGCCAACTGAAAATGGGATTCGATTAGTTCAAAACCGTGTCACTGTTGATCCTCGAAGTGGTCAATTGCATCAAAGGACTACAATTACTGAGTCATGCATTCAAAGTGTGGCTCTTTTTTGGTCACCGCATTATTTTTATATTTTTTTCTGAAATTTCAATGTTATATACCCCCTTAATTCTTTCAACAAATGAAAATTGAATGGCAGGGACTATTCCAAGCTGTTTGCCCTTATCTATGCACAATTTTAACAAGTTAAACATTTTTTTTTCATCTCATGAAGACCCTACCATTGTGAAGATATGAACTTGAAACCTCAAAAAGAAGTTTCTAATGAATTGTTGGGATGTTTCCTTGTGAAAGTTATTACCATCAAATATAATTGTCGAGGCTGCCTTTTAATTTGTACGACGAAATGCCTTGGTGGGGGTCAAGTGTTGTGATGGAAACACTTAGAAAGAGGTACAGCTGAAGTAGAGTGAGCATTAATTTTTTAGTAATTTTGGTGCACTGAACAAATGTTAGGCATGGCTGTACGAACTGTGACAATTCTGTCTTACATGTGTGTGGGGTTGCCAAAGTAAATGTATGTTGTATGAAAAAGATTGGTGGTTTAATGTATGCCGTTATGTAATGTTTGTATTCGGGGTAATGAATGGGGTGAGAGTTGGGTGATGGTGGGGGTCAATTCTGTGAATGGGTGTTTGTATTCTGGCCGTAAACAGGTTACCACCATGCCTGTATTTTGGAATTTCCAGAACCTGTATCAGTTTTGATATATCAATAAAGATATTGACTTAATAAAAAAAAATATAAGCAATATGTGATCATTTGCTATGCATAGTATTTCAAAACGGTAAAGTTTTACTGGTCCTTGCTATCTAATCAAATTTGATTAGCTAATTATTTTAGTATTAGAAAAAAGAAGTATCTTGATGCATTGTACGTAAAGTTTGGAGATATTGAACACTCAAAAAAAGAATAGTTTAGATTCATAGATATTTATAAATTGTCATATAAGACATTGAAAGAAAAAAAAAATTAAAAACTCTCTCTCATATATCGTGGTATGCAACTTAGATGTCAAATTTGATCCATTGTATTTATGTACGTATAGATATCAGAGTTATATTACACAATTTGTTTTTAGGATAGTAGAAGATTTAATGATATATGTTTAAAATTCAATAGGCCATTTTGATTGTTTTAGAACTCAATTGCAAAAACATGATGGGAAGTGTATTACCCTTACAAATAAAATTAACATGCAATTCACACCGGTAACAAAGCATATTAAATCAAAAAAACAAAAAAGCAAGTTAAAGATCTATGTTCTTATATATATCTCTCTGTGAAATGCTCGTGAAAATTAGAAATTCCAAGCCACTTCCGAAACATCATTATTCTGCAAGATTAACAATATGATGTTGTACATCATCATTGGATATTGGCTGCACTGTACCCCTGCGAAGCGAATTTCGTTGTTCTTGCGTCATTGTTGAGTCTAGCTTCTTAAACCGTGCGAGAGAGGCTAATTCATCAACAGCTTCAACAAGACTTTGCGTGCATGTTACAATGTCTAGCAAAAGGGAAGCGACAGCAACAGCTGGTGCCATCTCTAGGAGATCAGTGTCTTCCCATAATTCTGTTTTAAGCACAGACTTCAGATTTTCAGCTGCACTATTTGAGTTTGCGAGGTGGATATTAGCTGATGTCGATTCAATCATATCATTGATTATTGATGCTAATTCTTTCAATGCCTTTCCCGTTTCTGTGCTAATTGTCATGCATGGCTCTTCAATTCTTTTACGTATTTCCAAAGGAGTCTGCTAGTACACCAAAAATCTGGTTACTTTAATTATGTGAACGTTAGTAGAAAATCTGACTTCTATGTTTCAAAGAATACATAATAGTGATAAAAGTTAGTTATTGTACTTGGATTTCGGAGTTAAGATAGCTGTTAACAGCTTCAA